TTTCTGCACCATACATTTCAACTGTCTTGAAATTTGTATTGGAAATTGTAACTTTCGTGTTGACTGACAGACAGTTGTTTCAAGTTTCAGATGTTCTCTAACTGTAAAAATACCGCCCATGTTTTGCCAATCTGTGTCTTTACATTTTTATAGAATCCAACTCGCTCACTAATGATGTAGGTCACATAAGTACTTTCCGCTTAGCCTTTAATAGCATCAGTGCAAATCCTTTTGTATGTGAGGCCTTTTCTTCTTCATTGCTGGAATACTGCAGCATCTCTTCTGAAACTAGTCTATTTTGTTCAACATGTGCCCAGTGTTTTTCACGTATACCAAGCACCATCAGGTCATTACTTTTCACTTCCGCAGCAACGTGAATGACTTCCGGTCTTCCAAATGTACGAACACTTTTTTATATAGATATATTAATGGTTGCTCTGGCTTTTCAGAAGGGGCATCAGCTCTGTGACTTTCGAAGAAACTCGCTTTTCATCATGAGGTGTCATAACTCTTCTCAATGAAAACTTTCCAACTCCCAAGGAAAACAACCGTCTAGTGGTCTCAGGTTTATAATGTTGGTCTAACAATAATTAACGCATACTACCAATATAAAACAACAATACCCACAACTGTATACTGAAAAATTATTGTTATAATAATAATAATTATTATTATTATTATTACTATAAAATTAAATAAAATCCTTATTTATAATATTAATGAAATTTTTTAATTCTTTTATTGTTAAGATGATGATATTAAATTAAATTCTACATTATTTAATTGGCCTGAACAAATTTCCACTATCATTGATAATACAAATACACGTTTGTCAACATTACGTGAAACTTATGAAGAGAATTTAAAACAACGAATTATTGAATTAGAAAAACGTATCACTAATGCATGGGATCGTGTTAATTTAATGCGTCATCGTGAAGTGCTTTCACAAGAAGAAATGTTAAAATCTCAAGCAATTCTTGATGATTTTCAACAAGAATTAGACTCATTTTATGCAGATTCTGAACAAGTGAATAAGTAAGTTATTTGATGAGATTAATTTGAGGTCACATTTTATTGACAATTGATAATTAAAATCATCAATCTACTGTTGATTTTCAAAAACTGGATGATGATAAGATAGACATTTTTGAAACCATCAATCGATCAATGTTAGATCACCATTAGAAACCTGGAAGCACTGGACGGCCATTTCGTCCTGGTATGGGACTCCTCAGAAGTGCGCATCCATCAAAAACAAAGGTTAATAAGAAACCTTAGTGTGAAAATTATTACCAGAGTCATCTTAGCACTATTTCTGTGTCAGTAGGATGATACATTCAAGAATATTTTATGAATGTAACGTGATCGGAATGGACAATAAATCATTAGTAAAGAAGATTTGTAGACACTATATCATTTTTACTGGAGATGGAATGATCTCACTTAGTCATTAACACCATTGGATGCCGGCTCAGTGGTGAAGAGGTTCGCGTACGAGACCAAAGGTCCCGGCTTGGAGTTGAGGATACGGAATCTAGGATATACACTGTCGAGCTAAGTTGAAATGGCAGTATGGTATTTCCACGTTTCAAATAGTGGTCATTCTAAAATCAGTTCGTGATTAAAACTATGAAAAAATCTAATCTCCGCCAACCTCCTCTACTTATTAGGATTATCGATCAATAAAATGTTTTGTATTTTATTTCGGATTAACTCATTTGTTTTTGCGCAGAACATCGTAAGCCGACGTATGAATGTAATTGCCTGAAAAGATCTATTGAGAAAAGTGGATTGCAGTAGGTTTTTCTCACACACAGTTTTTTATTATACGTAGATTTTCAATAATGTTTGTCGAGTCACTGATTCACTTCGTCTAACACTGCTGTTATATTTGTGGTGAGTATTCATCGTTAACATTCACCTTCAACTTGTAACACTGAGGTTGATTCACAACAATTTGACTAATTTCGACACTACAAGAACAATTAAATCCTAAAATTTATATCATCAGTTAAGGACTGATTTCGTTTTATACCTAACTTTTATATTTTCAAATCAAGATTATTAGTGATCAAATTTTTTTTGTTTTCATCGCTTTAAACACTAACTTCAATTGTCAATCTTTCTTCTTTAATTATAATTTTCTTTTTAAATGAAACTTTTAAAAAATAAAAACAGAGAAGAAAATCTTTTTGGCTGGGATCAAACATCATTCCCTGAAATTATGGAACTTAAACAACAAATGGAACCATTTGATAATTTATGGCGTACTGCATTAACATTTGAAGTATATAATAAAGAATTGTTTGAATCACCTTATCATACATTGAATCCAAATGAAATTGAACAACAAATTACCGATATGTATAAAACAATGCATAAACTAACTAGAACTTTAACTGATCAACCAGGACCAGCTAAAATAGCACAAAAAGTGAAAGTGAGTTAAGAAATGATGATAATTGGTTAAGTGTATGTATTATTTGAAATTGCCAAAAGTTTCGATATTAGAATTCAGTTCTTGTTATATTGAAAAAGAAAGTGTATTTTTTAAAAGATTGATAAGAAATCTATGCATTTACTCAATTTTTAATAAGATTTTAGTAATGATGAAGCAGTTCTTACATCTAAATCCCTATTATGAGCCCTAACTGTGATTTGTCAGAAACGATCAAATGAAGCATAATGAAAGTCAAATCAGATTATTATACTTAATGATCATGTCCATCTTTTGGATTAGATTATAAGATTAGTGTGACTACAAAAAGGCGACTGTACAATGAATCCCTGTATATATATGCACACTAGCCAAACTCAATATATTTCAGTTGAAAATGTATAATTACTCCCTTTGTTTGATAAATTGTTGTCTGTATTAATTTAGGATAAAATATTTGTTCGTTAGTTGATGATAACTTTCGATAGCATGTGTTTTTTAGTGTTATGAAAGTTGAAGTTTAATGCGTAGCACAATACTAGAGTATGCACTTCGTAATATTTTGAAGCTTTTGAGCATATCTTCACAATGGATCCCATATCAAACAATAGGGAAAAATGTGAAGAAATAATTAGTTCAAGACAGGATGTTGAAATGTAGAGACTAAACGAAAAGAGTTTTGAACACCTTCAATAGGGAGGTACAAATTTCATACTAAGTATTGAAAAAATTAGTGAATATCTGAACTTGATATCTTATTTGATGTTGGGGACGTTAGATCTCCAGAACTCGCTTGATAAATGCCTTATTTTGGATTTCACGTTTCCGAGCATGGGCTGATCAGTTGACCTTGAAATTTCATTTCCCATCAGGAAAATCCTTGGTTGTGACTGGCTGCTGTGTATTTTAGTGTGCTATTTTTGTGACTGTACCAAGGACGTTTCTATGATGCGTAATTAAACAAGATTTGTGTGCTTGATTACATTGTGCATTGTGCTTGCTGGGTGTTTGTAGAATATACTTTCTACGCTACATCAAGACTTTTCATTAGTCAGCAGATCAGGGTAGCCTACCTGGACGCTGGTTCATTGTCTCCATCGCGTTTATCAACTAAGGTGAACCCATAATAGTTTCAAGTATACCCAATGAAGAACCTAACATTTGACAATAATGCATTATTGTTTGAAGCCTGAATGAGATACTGATAAATTCAGCTAACAATTCGTGAATAGGACAAAGCTCGTATTCTAGGTTCCACTGTTAGCCAAAATTTAGAGATGTACTCTAGTTGTACTGAATTAGAATCTTTCAATTTGTGATTACATGAACTCTTGTCAAGTTTAAGTCAACGATAACCACATTCTAATCAAATAATTAATTTAAAAACTTTATATTTAAAATCATCAAAACTGAATGTAGAATAAATTGAATTTTTCTATTGAAAGAATGAATCAGTAACGTGTCAATGCTAAACCATCAAAAAAATTAGATGAAATTAGAAAGTGTTAACAACTTAAAGTAGATTTTAAGAGGTTTACATCAGCTAATCGCTCGACTAATATTGGTCACTGGTCATTTAGCAATCACTTGTAGTGGAATTAATCATGAATTCCAAAATCGTACGTTTAAACATTATGAAGGTAGTACAATAGCCGCCAGGGGTGGAGAGAATCCGCTCTCGTCCTCCAAATGCTTTTACAATCCTACGCGTACATAACCACTAACAATAACAATATTGCCTTCTCGCTACATGCGGTGTTGTTTACGAAACTGACAGGACGAAGAGCGAACATTCGGTGCGTAAACCAAACTAGTGGGTACGGAAGATCTGCCTGGGGTAATTGGGAAACCACTTGGAAGTATGGTTTCCGTCAGTCTTTCCGTACCTAAATAGATTAGAAAATTAGGTGAATAAGTGACAAACTTTAGACTTACTTCAGTATCAAAGTTATGAAATGCCGAAATCACCAACCAATGAAAAAAATTTGATTTTCCTTCATGTTCTTTAAGTCTCTTAGGTTGTTAAAATTTTGACCAGGGTAACTTCTTTGTATTAGGTAACCAAAATCCAACCAATATTGAGATTAGACGGTTTCAAGTGTAGGAAGATGTATTAGGAACTATAAACACTCACCAAACAAGATACTTTGATACTAACGCATCAAATGAGTGCTGAAGCTCATTAAACAATCAATCAGTGAAGTCAGTGATTTTTTTCAACAGCTTTCTAAGGTGTTAGTGCTTCTGCAATCAAACAGCAGTTATAAAAATCTTAAGTGAATGATTAACCCGTTGTGTCAATAACTGTATCATCTCTCGTCTTTTAAATAATACATATATATTCTGAAAATGATTACTGAATGTATACTAGCTAACAACCAAGATCAGATTGATTTTAAAAAACAGAGGTTCACCTACATAATATAAAGCATTGAAAAAGTTTTTTATCAACACTTTACAAATTCAATGTTCAATAATGATTTGACAAAACCAATAATTTGATTTGATTTTGTTAGGCTATTTATTCTCTAAATTTTCTACTTTCTTTTTTTTCAAATAGGAAAAAATAATTAAATTTCAACAATTCTTGCCAATTATTCACACAGTTTGTAATCCAGGCATACAACCACGTCATTGGGATCAAATGAGTGAAATTGTAGGCTTTGATATTAAACCAGATGAAGATACTAAATTATTGACTTTCATTGAATATGGTTTAAAACCGCATTTAGAAAAATTAGAAGAGATTGGTGCTGCAGCAGCTAAAGAACATCAACTTGAAGTAGCTATGGCTAAAATGAAAAATGAATGGAGTTTATTGAAGTTTGAATTGACTCCTTACAGAGATACAGTAAGTAGTTTTTTCATTTGGTTATTTTTTAATTTATTTGGAAAACAGTTTTAAGTATATCTAGCATTTACAGGCACGCTTCTCTTTTTTGCTTTATTCCAATGTATTCACAAGTACGAATACACTTAGAATTATACGTAAGAATTTGAATTATGACATGAATTGAACCGTTATAATTTTTTTAATTGTCGAGTTATAGAGAATGTTATTGATCATCATAAATCTTTAATCAATCTTTGTCAGGTCATCATCAGAAACCTGGAACCGCTGGGAGATCTTTTTTTCTTGGTATGAGACTCATTAGCATTGCGCACCCACGACTCCTGCTACTCGCAGAATTCGAACTCAGGACTTTCGGTTTCGTGTGCGAACGCTTAACCTTTAGACCACTGAGTTAATTTCTAACTCTCATCAGTCTAAGCTTTTGAATAACTCCATCCACTGCCTTTGAGGAGTGGCTGCCTACACCCTACACGACTGAACTCCTCTGGTCACGTCTTCTCACTAGAACTCCGAGAATTTCCTCATAAAGCTAATGTCACTATTGAGCACAATTTACGATTTTCACAATCATGGAGATTGGTGTCTATGAATCAATCATTGTTATAATTTAGTCATTATAACAATGAAGACGCTGACAAAATGCAGAGTCTTCTGAGTACCCTAAGCAACAATGCAAACATGTTAGGGATGCGGTTTTCCCCCTCCAAATGCAAAATGTTGCTTGAAGATTGGCTTGAATCGGCACCTGAACTAGTGATAGGGAGTGAAGTAGTCGAGCGTGTTGATCACTTCACTTATCTGGGGAGTCTCATCAGTGCTGACGGCCTGGTGACTGACGAAATCTCAGCTCGAATACAGAAGGCTCGATTGGCTTTTACCAACCTGCGTCACTTATGGCGTAGGCGAGATATCCGTTTGCTAACCAAAGGACGAGTGTACTGTGCAGCAGTTCGCTCTGTCCTACTGTACGGATGCGAAACATGGCCGTTAAGAGTAGAGGACATTCGTAGGTTACTAGTCTTCGATCATCGATGTCTCCGAAGCATTGCTCGTGTTTCCCTGGAAAACCGTATAAGCAATGCTGTCGTTAGGAAACGAGTTCTAGGTAGGGATGGCATATCAATAGATGAAGTAGTGAAACTTCATCAGTTGAGGTGATTGGGACATGTGTTACGTATGCCCAACCACCGACTGCCTCGACGAGCTATGTTTCGTAGTGTAGGTGTAGGTTGGAAGAAAGACAGGGGCGGCCAAAACAAAACATGGCAGAAATGCATGAAGTCACTCAAAAGTGGACTGAGTCATGTTGGTAGATGTAGACTACCTGGTTGGGGTCCGCGAGACGAAAGTCACCGATGGTTAGGGACCTTGAACGACATGTCTCAGAATCGTTTGCAATGGCGCAGGTGCATCCACTCTTTGTGTTCTCTCTAATTCTAACCTTCTGAATTCCCCATAATCTCTACTTTTCTCCTTCTAAATTTATCTTACCGAATTATAGTTCTCGAATCATATCTTCGCTCCCTAATCTTCTCCATTACTGCTAATACTTCTACTATCACTATCACTCTTGGATTTGAACCGATAGTTTTTTCTCTGTGCTAATTGGGCATAGCAACCTGAACTGATATACTTACGTTCGAAGTTCTGCGTTGTATCCGTCTGTCTGTATAATTTAACCATGAAAGTTCACAGTGTACCATCCTAATCAATTTATAATAACATCTCAAATAACTTCTATCATTTATAAATAATCAAGTAATTATTATAAGCATTCAATCTTACATAACCATCGTAAAGTCATAAGTTAATGAATTAAAAAACAGTCTTCATTCAAGTTATCTATTTTAAGCAAATTTGAAAATTGCAAATCAACTTTTCTACAAAATTCAATTGTTATAACCACTACTAGACTATTCAAGAAGTTAAAACCATTTCGAACCATTTTTGGTATGATCAATGAATGATATTCTATTTTTATCTGTTCATAATTGTATTATTGTATGTAATTATATTCCTTTTATCATTATTATTATTATTATTATTATTATTATTATTATAAGCCTTTAATGGGTCTATTAGATGTCATCACAAGCTTTATGATTCCTGAATTATTAATAATTCATTATGTACTGCTAACTTCACTCTCTTCCATTTATGGCATAATTGTGTCCACAACATAATTTCCTATTTCACCTGCTATGCGATAGGATAACTCATGGATATATAAGCTAGCAAGTGGAGGAATTATAATTGGAAATCTGATTAGTGAATCTCGCGCGAGATCAAAATAAGTGTCTTAAGACGTAAAAAAAACTGCACAACATTTGTTAATGCCCCAGAATTATTTACCAAAGGTTCTACCTAGGGAAGTTGGGAAACCCTCACTCCAAACCATTGGTGTACATGAGATCATGGATGTTGATGAAACACGAATGGCGTATGAACCGACTCACAGTCACCAGCAACCATGGAACTGAATCTTTCTACGTCGGCCCACTGTCTTGTTACCCCTTAAGAAAACCACTTGTTTCTGTACTGGGATGTGAGCAGTATCCAAGCCCAATCACTAATTCAATTATTTGTGTGGTGCGTAAATAATTAGGTGCTCCTTTGTACCAGTGTTTTTATATTAAAAACTATATATGAATCAGGTTGGAAATGCTTGATATCAATTACCTTTATAAGCTAGAGTTGATAGTGGTTATTTATTTGACATTGAAATGAGGAATGAATCATTGTTTGACCACCATTAGAAACCTGAAAGCAGTGGACAGCCGTTTCGTCCTGATATGGTTGCGCATGACCGTGGATTGATTGAAGTTAGACATGAACACCGTTAGATACTGGCTCAGTGGTCCAGAGGTTAGGTGTTCGTGGGCAAGACTGAAGGTCATGAGTTCTAACCCTGAGAGTTGCAGGAGTCGTGGAACCTCACTGCTACTGATCAGACCCATACCAAGACGAAATGGCTCTGCAGTGTGGTTCCAGGTTTCCAATGGTGGTCTGACATCGGTTAACTCATGATTTCAAAAAAGTAACTCAACAACCTCTACAACTCTCTTTCTTATACAATTCTAATATTTGATATTGGTTTGCATTATTTTTAAATGTTGTTACTGTTGGCATTTTTTTTTCTACTTCTTCAGGGAATATCTATACTATCTGTAGTTGATGATATACAAGTGCTCTTAGATGATCATATTATTAAAGCACAAACAATGCGTAATTCACCATATATTAAACCATTTGAAAAAGAAATGATTGCATGGGAAACAAAGTTGACTTCAATGAATCAAATATTAGATGTATGGTTAAAAGTAAGTTAAAATACAATAAGACAAATGTAAAACGTATAATTCCCTTAAGTAACTACTTCAAAAGAGCATGCACGATCAATGATATAAGTAGAACTGCTTCGTGCACAGTGTTCCACCACGGTGTCAGGTACCTGAGCTGTACTGTGGGCGGTGTTCTATTCGCCTGAAAACCAATTTAAAATTACCCTTGCCCATTCAGGGTGAACTTATATAATTGTGAACTAATTGTGTTTTGGTGCATGAAACAGTTATTGTTACTATAAACTGACAATAAGAATTTTCCGAGATCATGGAATATTACGTAGATAACCTATACCAGTTGGTGACTTTCTGGTAATATGAACTTACGGCGTCACATGAAATAGAATTTGACCTTCAGGTTTTGTGACCTGAATAAAATATCACTAGACTATTAAGTCGGAATCCATTTTCTCCTACTAGTGAACAATGTTGAAGAGTCCCAAGCCAGAACGAAACAGCTTTTCATAGTAAAACTTACATAACTTGTGAACTCTTAGAAATCACTGACAAAACTGCGTTTAAATTGTACATCATTTTTATAACGGTACAAATCTCCATTCTTAATATAAGTCTGTACTCTTCTGGCTAAAATTTTACATGCAGGTACAAGCTACATGGTTATATTTGGAGCCAATATTTTCGTCAGAAGATATTTTAGCACAAATGCCTGAAGAAGGTCGCAAATTCGGTATTGTTGATGTTACATGGCGTGAAATAATGTCTGAAGCAGCAGTAAATGCAAATTGCTTAGTAGCTACCGATCAAAAAGACATGCTTAAACGCTTAACCGATGCGTATGTACTACTTGAAGAAATACAAAAAGGATTAAATGATTATTTAGAAAAGAAGCGATTGTATTTCCCAAGGTTAGTCAAATGTATATATATATTACTTAATTCTATATTTAAGTAGTTCGTAATGAATTTCTAAATGAGTTGAAAATAAATGCCAACAAAAACGGAATAATTTATATGATTATGCGATATTACGAATGAACCATTAAACATCGGACCAGTCACGTTGAGACTGAAGGTCTTCGTTACAACAACCTACGGTGATGAGATCATGGTAGTGCATTACTGAGAAGTTCTACATTGTCAAGAAACAGTTGTTCATAAAAGCTTCTCATGTTTCCTAACGACTGTTTAATGGAGACCAATCCGAGATATCAACCATAAATATCTGAAAAAAAAAAGCTTGAGGAAATCAATAAGGTTTTACTATTTTCGTTTCAAATATTTCATTTAAACACTTGTACCCAGACATGTACATAATGGTGATTATATTCTACTCATCAAATGATTAGTATCTCGTTGCTGCCTGATGATGTTTTCAGTTGGATTGATTTTAACTATTCAGTCAGTTGATCAGTAGTCTCATAAGCGCAATGTAGAAACTCGCATATGTGTGTGTAACAGTTCAAGACATGACATCATCATATCAGTACAGCCAAATGAAATTGTCAAGATCAATAATGAAGTAACAGAAGTGATAACAGGATTTATATAATACTATAAGAAAAGTACTACAGTGAGCCAATCAGATATGGTTAAATCAAAGGTGTCCCAATCAGAACACCAAGTGATTGATGACCATCAGTAATGTCCTAAACAACCAATGTATAAGATTGGATTAACTGTTCATGCTGTTTTTCAC